GAGGAGGCATGGTCGCTCACCCAGGTGGAGGGTGTTAGGAGCGGAGGGTGACTGAGGGTGGGTGATGGCTCCTCTGTGGAAAGTCATGCTGTCTAAAAGCAGCCCACTGTACAGAGACTCTCTGTTCTCTTTCTCCCTGTGGGAGTGGAAAGCTCAGGAGAGAGAGCTGTTGCTGCTGAAGAAACACACCGACAGGGAGAGGAGAGCAATGCTCGCACAGCTCGACAAGTAAGACGGCACAAAAAAAGAAACATGTTATCAATTTGAAACAGTATAACAAGCTTCTGTTGTTTCAGTTACAGTCATGTTTATGCATTAACTATATGAGTAAAGCATCGAGTTTGTTTAGAGTTAATGTTTGAAGTGAGGGAAACTGGCAGACTAGTGCTATCATAAGAGATCAATTTGTTGTTCTGAGTGTTTGCCTTCATCCTCTGATGAATGTGCCCTTCACACTCGCCAAATCGAATCCCAGATGATTATTGTTGATGGTTGTTGACCAGTGTGTTAGAGTTCTTCCATTCTTTCATTAGAGTTCAGCAGGCTTGGACAATCAGTGCTAAGATGGACCGAGGCTGTTCTAGCAGCTCTAGTCTTCCAGCACCTTACTAATCCACTTGGTTGGCTATTTCTTGAATTCGTCTGTAGTTTAGCAAAGACAAAAGGGAACTTCAAAAAGGGTAACTTGTGGTTTTTGTAAAGTAATATTCATAATCTACACTGCTCAAAAAAAGTAAAAGAATAATTTTCAATCAGAGTATAGCATCAAGTCAGTAAAACTTCTTGGATATTGTTTTGGTCAGTTATGTATGAAGGTGTTGTTTTTCAGTTTCAGTTGTTTTGGTGTTAATTAAATTAATACCATCTGTGTAGGACTCTGGCATTTTTTCCCTCCTTATCCATCTTCTTTCACTAGTTTCACATTTGGATAGGGTCATGAGGGTGGCCTGACGTCCACTAGTGAGCTCTGAGCACCATGGAGCCCGGTATCCATTGGCCATAGAATACCAGAATTGGCAAGTCCACCACTAGGACCCTGTGCTTTTCTCATATGAGAGCATGTTCACCCTGAGCACATGTGAGAGATATCGGTGGTAGGTCAGTGATGGTCTGGAAAGACACATCATTGGAGGGACACGCAGACCTCTACAGGCTGGACATCAGCACCCTGACTGCCATTAGGTATCAACCCTGCAGGTGCAGTAGGTGCTGGGATCCTCTTAGTGCATGATAGTACCCACCCTAATTACTGGTTAAAAACCGTGGATGGATGGGGTCAGTTTAGCTTAGTGAGTGAGCAGGCAACCATGTGCCACATGGCCAGAAAGTAAGAACCTGGGTTGCTTTCCTGTCTTTCCACACTGTCCCTATCCAATAAAGGACAAAATGCCCTCCAAAAAGCTGTGGGAGGATACAAACGTCTGTTCCTGACAGCTGTGGGCTTCTAAGAGATTTTAGATCTCACCAATTCATGTACTTTACTGGACAGAATTTAATTATATTTTTTAATTATCATTTTAGACAGAGTCATTTCCCCCTCAAATTCCTGTCTTTATACAGAGTTAACCATGCTGTCTTGGTCCAGTGCTGCACTGTATTCTTACCACACAGAAGATGGAGTATTGCTTTGCCTGACAGTATTGTTTGCTTTCCCACTGGTCCATGGGAATAGTTAGTGTTATTTTTCTGGTACAGGCATAGATGTGTAGTGCTGTGAAAAAATATTTGCCCCCTTTACAAAGGGCAGTTTTTAAATGATTCATCCTTATCAGGGTTGCTGGGAGCTGGAGCCTATCCCAGCTAACATAGGGCAAGAGGCAGGGTACACCCTGGACAGATCACCGTCTGTTGCAAGGCTAACACAAAAAGACAGACAACCATTCAAAGCTATTTGTAATTTAGAATGACCAGCTAATCTAACCCCACTAATTGCATGTCTTTGGACTGTGGGGGGGAAGCCAAAATACCCAGAGAGTACCTACAGAAATACAAAGAACATATAAACTCCACACAGAAAGGCAGAGTTGAACTCAGTAACTTCTTTCTGTGAGGCAATTGCTAATCGCTGTGCCACCATGCTGCCCAGTTGATGATTTCATTTATTAAAGGGAAAAAGCTATTCAAACCTAAATGGAACCATGTGGGAAAGTAGCTGCACCCTGGAGCCCTCCAAAACCTTCCATCCATCCATCACCATTA